TGGGAGTGAAGGGGAGGGGATGGGAAAGGATGGGATGGGAGGGGAGGGGAGGTCGAGAGGGGTGGAGGAGAAGAGATATTGGAGGTGTAGAGAGAATCTGTAAGAGCTACTTTGGTTTTTTTTGAGGCATCTCAGATCTGTGGATGAGTATGTCTGCCCATAGCTCCTTTGCCAACCTGACTAAATGCCCCTGGGGTGGGGGGAGCAGTCTTAAACCTAGAACATCTGTGACACACTTTCACCACCTCCATTCGACTTGCCAAGAGTGCTGCTCACCTGGCAACTGGTTAATCCTGCACCGGGCTGCCAACTCCCACCCGGGTATCACTGAAAGCTCAGAAAGAGGCCGTTCAGCGACCCAATATCAGTGCTCTCCCTCCAGACTGGTTTGGCACACTCTTAAGCACTACATTCCAAATCCTACCTTTTCAGTAAAAAAGATACTCCCTCTCCATTCCAATGAAGGGAGTAGTGCATTGCTAATGTCACTGGTTTAGTCGCTCCCAGGGTAATGTTCTAGGGACATGGGTCCAAACCTCACTGTGGCAGGTGGAGGCCCTTCAACCCATCGAGTCTACTTAATGACGCAAATTCTGCAGTAAAGCATCCCACAGATTCAGTCCTGTCGGAGAGAAGAAATTCCTCCTCATCTCTGTCTTAAATGGGCGACCCCTTGCTCTGAGATTACACCTCCTGGTCCTCGACTCTCCCACTAGGGGAAAAACAACTTCTCCTGTGCCTATCAATAATGTTACATGCATGTGAGTGTTTAAATGATCTTTACACATTTGCCAGAGGCCTTCTGCTTTATATTTAAAGCCAAATATTTGTCCCAAAAAAAGACAGCAGGGCTGACCCTTCAAAGGGCTTCCGATTTTTAAGAATTCCCTTAGCTGGATTCTCATGAACAATCACTAACTGCTTGGATAAAAAGTACGGTATGTGATGGTTGTCTGTGGGTCTAGCTTAGTTTGGAAGCTGGATGCTTTGTGCCGATGTTTAACCAGCAGCCTGTTTTTGTAGGCCCCAAAATCTCTCAGCCGAGTGATGGTAAATGGGGAGAGGCCAATGGCGCACAGATGCCAATCCCTGGTGAACAGAAAATATAAAACTCCTCAAGGAATCACTGTCAAGGGAGGAGAGAGAGAGAGAGACAGAGAGAGATGGTAAACAGTGGCAAAGAGAGCTAGAATTGGAGAAGCAGATGTTTTGGCTCTCCATGTTTTTTCCTTTATTGACTCATGGGATGTTGGGCCAGCATTCAGTGATAAAGAGAGGCTGGATAAGCTCAGAGATAAGGCAGTGTGGAGCTGGAAGAACACAGCAGGCCAGGTAACATCAGAGGAGCAGGAAAGTTGACGTTTCGGGTCAGGAACCTCTCTCTGGCTCCAGCATCGGCAGTTCTTACTATCTCTGGATAAGCTCAAGTTGTTTTCTCTGGAGCAGAGAAGGTTGGGAGGTGTGTAAGATTATGAGGGGTAAGGACGTGGTGGATAGCAAGTAGCTGTTCCCCTTAGTTGAAGGGTCAATAACAATGTGGCGGGGGGGGGGGGAATCCTTTTAAGCTGAAGGGGGGGAAGTATGGGGGGGGGGGGGCGTGAATTTGAGGAAAAAATGTTTTCACCCCCAGGGTATTGGGGCCTGGAATGCACTGCCTGGGAGAGTAGTTGAGGCAGGAAATCTCACACCCTTTAAAAGTATTTGGATGAACACTTGAAGTGTTATAGCATTCAAGGCTTTGGGCCTAGTGCAAGAAAGTCTGACTGCTGTATTTAATACTGTATTTTTGGCAGTACAGACTCAATGGGCTGAAGGCCCTCTTCTGTACTGTATGATTTATTGCCGCCGCCCCCCTTAGAGAAGGTGGGGGTGAGCCCCTGCAATCCGTGTGGTGTAGGGACACCAACAGAGTGCCGTTAGGAAGGAGTTCCAGGATTCTGACTCAGCGATACTGAAGGAACGGCCAATATATTTCCAAGTCGGGGACAGTAAGGGGCTCGGAGGATGAACTTGCAGGGGGGTGGTGTTCCCATGTACCTGCTGCCCTTGACCTTCTGGATGGAAGTGGATCGTGGGTTTGGAAGGTGCTGTCTGACGGGCCTCGGTGAGTTGCTGCAGTGCATCTTGTAAACGGTACACACTGCTGTTACTGAGCATCAGTGATGGGGGGAGTGGATGTTTGTGGATGTGGTGCCAATCAAGCGGGGGCTGCTTTGTCCTGGATGGTGTCCCCATCTGGGGCAATTGGGGAGTATTCCATCACATTCCTGACTTGTGTTTCAGTGTAATAAAGACTGCAGAAAGTTCGAGCACAGAGGAATTTGGGGAAGCTTTGTCTATAAATCAAAAAAAGCCAGCATCCAAGTTCAGCGGGGAATAGGGTAGGTCAATGGAACGTTGACCTTTATTTCAGAGGGAATGAAGTATAAAAGTGGGGAGATTTTGCTAAAACTGCACAAGGCATTAGTTGGACCACAGCTGGAATACTGTGAACAGTTTTGGGGCCCCGTTTCTAAGGAAAGATAGACTGGCCGTCGGAGGCAGCCCACAGTAGGTTCACTCGCCTGATCCCAGGTACGGAGCGAATTCTTATGAGGAGGGGCTGAGTAGCTCGGGGTCTGTTCTCATTTAGAGGAATGAGAGGTGACCATATTGAAACGGACAAGATTGTTAAAGGGACTGGACAGGGGAGATGTGCAGAGATTGTGTCCCCTTATGGGAGAGTCTAGGACCAGAGGATGTAATCTCAGAATAAGGTGTTGCGTATTGAAGACAGAGGTGAGGAATTTCTTCTCTCTGAGGGGAGTAAATCTTTGGAATTCTTTATCACAGAGGGCTGTACGGATTTGGTCATTAAGTATATTCAACGTTGAGATAGATCAGATTTTTAATCAGTTAGGGAATTGAAGGTTATGGGGGGATAAAGCTGGTAAATTGATTTGAGGATTATGAGGTCAGCTATGCTGTCATCGACTTGATGGGCTGAATGGCCTACTCTGCTCCTATGTTTTACGGTATCATAGAACACCACATTACATGAAGAAATAATTTCTATTGAGTCAGCTTACCCCAGTGGTGACATCAGCTGGCTCTGACATTGCTGCTGGTGGGTAATAACTGTATTGCCAGTCCCAGGTCAAACTGATGTGCTGGAAGGCTATCAGACAAATATAGCATCCCTTCCTCAACCAAGGCGGCCAGTGGCTACCACTTTAGGACACGTAGAAATGCCCACCCCTGGAGGGAGATGAGGTGTGTGCCTTTAGCTTCCCATAGCTTGCAGTGGAAAGTGCTGTGTTCAAGCAGTTACACACTGGCTGGCATTGGGAACATTAAACTGCCCGGTGTTTGTGCTCCAGATTGGAATCATGGAAAGAGGACCTTCAGCCCACTGTGAGTGTGCAGGTTCTTGGGAAGAATTCTCTGCTTGGCTGCACCACCCGCCCTGGTTCTTTCCCGAAGGCCTCCTGATGAGAACTCATTCCCTTTGGAACGTTGACACTGAGTCTGCTGTTTACTCTGCTACTGGCAGTCCATCCTTGTACCTACAGCAATTATTTTGAACTCTTCTCAAAAAGGGTAAACAATATCAGCTTCCCTAGTCTCTCCACATGATGTTGTGAATCCCCCCACGGACAGACGGAAGAAGAGAGACAAGATCGGGTTAGGATTATATTCACTGGAGTTTAGAAGAATGGGGGTGGAATCTCATAGAAACCTATCTAATTCTAACAGGGACTAGACAGGGTAAACACAGGAAGGATGTTCCTGATGGCGGAATGAATTAGTGAATGATTTTTATTGTCACATGTGTTTGGGAAAATACAGTGAAAAGTATTTTGTCACCACAATCTGTTGCCATTTCAGAGAGCATGCTAACATTGCCCCTTCCTATACTGAGCACACTCACATTGCCCCTTTTCTCCCTCCTGTCCTGAGCATGCTCACTTTGCCCCTTCCCTGCCCCCCCCAGCAATCCTGCTCTGAGCATGCTCACAATGTCCCTTTCCTCCAACCACCTCCCCCCCCAAATCCTGCCCTGAGCGTGCTCACATTGCCCCTTCACCCGATCTAGTCTGAGCATTTCCAGAACCAGGGGGTCACAGTCTAATGAATATGGCGTTGGACTGAGATGAGGAGAAATGGCTTCACCCAGAGAGTGGGGGAGCCTGTAGAATTCTCTGCCACAGAAAGCGGTCAGTGCCAAAACATTGAATGTTTTCAAGGAATTGGATGTAGTTCTTAGGAATAAAGGGGGGAATAGGGGACTGAGTTGGATGATCAGCCCATGATCGTATTAAATGAGGGAGGATGCCAGAGGGGCTGAATGACCTACACCTGCTGCTAATGTTGATGTTTCTAACCTGTTTGTAATTGGCGTTAATAGGGTTGAGGGTCTTTTTCATTTCCCCAACTTGCCTTTATAGTGAGTGCACTCACGCCCTTCACGTCCTCTTACAATTGGAGCCGTCCGTTTCATGTTGCCACTTCCCCGTCGCACCCCCAGGCTATGAACAAGGACGTGAGGGCCAAAAACCAAGATGCCGAGAATCCCGATGATGGTTGGCCGCCGCTTTCCCCGAGCCAGGTGCCACACCGTTCTGACAACAGTCGTCCGGCTGGTGATGGGCATCATTTTCCGAACGCCGTGTCAAGCTTCGGGGAGGTGCGAGCTCTCCACCCGGCAGCTAGCCACATTTTTTGTGTCCAGGTGGGTGAGATACAACCCTGCTGGAGAAAAATGGCAGGGGTGGGGGCGTGTACTTGGGGGAACCATGAAGATCGTACAATAGTTTTTTTTTATGGGATTTTCTATGGGATTGGTGCCCATCGGAAATGCCTACTTCAGGGTCAACTACCGTGGTTGAAAGTCTGGAGTCACATGTAGGCCAGACCAGGTAAGGATGGCAGGTTTTCTTCCCTAAAGGAATGTTAGTGAACCAGATGGATTTTAAAGCAGATTGAATTCAAATTTCATCATCGGCCACGGTGGGATTCAAATTCAGTCTCCGCTAGCCTGGGAGCTGCAGATTACAAGTCTAGTGATATTGCCACAGAGACACACAAAACAGGGTGACCAGTATCAGTCACTTTGTGGCACTGCCTGAGCCACATTCAATCTTGACATGTTTTGAAGTTCAGATTAGATCATAAATCTTTGGGCTGTGCTGTCAGTGGACATTAGAATTCACCCGCACACTGTGGGAATTTAACATTGTACAAGTCAGACTAGGTAGGGTGGAAGTTCGCCTACCACATACTTGGGTGAGATGCAAACGTGCCCAACAGCCTGGTTTCTCTTTGTAAACCCAATATTTTATCCCTTGTCAGAGGCCCATTTCTTTCATGTCCGCATGTAGCAAGACTTGGACAATCATCAGGTTTGAGTTAACACGTGACAAGTGGCATTTACACCAAACAAGTACTTGGGAAATGACCATCTTCATCATCACCCTCTTGACATTCAATGGTGTTACCATCACTGTATCTCCACACCGCATCCCCCCTACCCCCCACAAATTTCAACATCCTGGGGGTTACTGTCTCCAACAAGACAGAATCTAACCATCACCCCCTTGATGTTCAATGGTGTTGCCATCACTGAATCCCCCCATTATTAACATCCCATTACCAATGACCAGAATTTGAACTGGACTCACCGCATAAATGCAGCGGCTACAGGAGCAAGTCAGGCTGGAAATCCTGCAGCGGGTAACTCCCCTCCTGACTCCCCCCAAAGTCTGTCTACCATTGACAAGGCACAAGTCAGGAGGGTGATGGAATACTCCCCACTTGCCTTGGATAGGGGCAGCTCCAACAACACTTGAGAAGCTTGACACCATCCAGATCAAAGCAGCCCCCACTCGATTGGCCCCACATCCACAAACATCCCACTCCCCCCACCACCGACGCTCAGTAGCAGCAGTGTGTACCATCTACAAGATGCACTGCAGTAATTCACCAAGCCTCCTCAGACACCACCTTCCAAATCCACAACCACTTCCATCTGGAAGGACAAGGGCAGCAGGTACATGGGAATACCACCCCCTGCAAATTCACCCTCCGAGCCCCTCACCATCCCTGACTTGGAAATATATCGGCCATCCCTTCAGTGTTGCTGGGTTAAAATCCGAACTCCCTCCCTAACGGCACTGTGTGGGGGTCCCTACACCACACAGACTGCAGCGGTTCGAGCAGGCGGCTCACCCCCACCTTCTCAAGGGGGCAATTAGGGGGAAATGGGGCAATAAATGCTGGGCCCAGCTGTGTGAAGATAATTGCATTTGAATTGTTGAAACAATCGCCTAGACGGGTGTAGGTAATTCTGTGTATCACTCTTCATGTAGAAAGATGCCCTGGAAATGGGACAAGTGATACCTTTTGTGGTCGCAAGGGCGGCGGATGTCTGGAGTCATCATCACGTGAAAATGCCCTTTTCAAACCACAGCATGCAAACCAAGACCAGGGCAAGAATGGTAATGTAACAGGGAATGGTGGGCAATTTGTATTGTTACGGCCTGCCTCGACTCACCATCCCTTACCTCAACCAAGTTGGACAAACTTTCCCAGAAGGTTGAGACAGATCAGTGCCGTTGCAGGTCCCAGTAGCACCAGCACCGGACCACACCCACCACCCCCTCCCCCCATGCGGAATCGATCAACGTGCCAAGGGGAGGTGGCAAATTATATCACCAACCTTTTTTCTTTCCTCATTGTGCCTTAAGGGGAGGCAGGCATCGATAGCGAGGGTGACATTTGTTGCCCATACCTAGAACCCAGCGGCTCACTTGCCCGTTTCAGAGGGCCATTACGAGTCAACCACATTGCTGTGGGGTCTGGAGTCCAGACCAGGCTAAGGAGGGCAAATCTTCTTTGCTGAAGGGACACTAAAGAACCCAGTTGTTTTTCTTGTGATGATCAGTGATAGGTTAAAGGTCACCATTACTGCATGGCTTGATATTTCCAGATCTATGAATTGAATTTACATGCCACACCCTAAATCATTATCTTTCAGTATCGTACAGAGATTAAACGCTGGGATGTAATCAAAGGAGTTCTCGGCAAGGCCAAGTTTGAAACCTCGAAGGATTTGGAGGTAATAGCACTGATTAGTTTGTAACCTCTTCACAAAACTCCAGTTTTACCATTTACTTGTTGTACAATAGCCCACTTCAGCTCCTGATTCATTCACCGTGATCCCAGATTGATGCTGGGTGTCTGAAACCATATTAAACAGGGCCAGAGAACTGCCAATGCTGGAGTCTGAGATAACACAGTGTGGAGCTGGAGGAACACAGCAGGCCAGGCATCATCAGAGGAGCAATAAAGCTGGCGTTTTGGGAAGGGTCCCGACCTGAAACGTCAACTTTCTTGCTCCTCTGATGCTGCTTGGCCTGCTGTGTTCCTCCAGCTCCACACTGTGTTATGTTAAACAGGCCAGATGTAAAAGCTGGAAATACACTGGGCTATATATTCCCAGGACATGGGACAGCACGGGTTTAGGTACAGTTCGAGAATGCAGCTCACTCCCACCTTCACAAGGGGGCAATTAGGGGATCGGAGCAGTAAGTGCTGGACCCAGCCAGCAACGCCCACATCTGAAACAATTGAGTAATGACCTTGGGGGTGGGAGAAGACTGCAAACCATTTGCTTGATGTGTTCCCACTTGTTTTCCCTGCTTATTTCACAGAGTGCTATTAAAGAGTACAATCAAAAATATGCCCATCTCTGGAATTTCTCAGGACTCCACGAATTCTTCAAGCAGGTGAGGTCAAGCCTTTCCAATATGATCCAACATCGACCTGGCTGATCTCCCTCTGTCAGAGAACCAAAAGGATAGTAACAAGTTGGCAGAGTGAGCAGATGAGGTTCAGTGCAGACAGAAGTGTGAGGTGATGCACTTTGGTCAGAAAAGCATGGAAACATAGTATAAAATAAGGAGTACAATTCTAAAGGGAGCAGAGGGAGCTCGGGGTGTAGGAACACAGATCACTGAAGGTGGCAGGACAAGTGGAGACAGCAGTTAATAAAATAGCCAGCATTTTTGGCTTTATTAATATGAGGATAGAGTACAAGAGCAGGGAGGTGATGTTGACCTGGTATAAGACACCTGTTAGACCCCAGCTGGAGTACTGCGTACAGTTGTGGGCACCACATTACGGGAAAGATGTAAACACATTGGAGGGAGAGCACAGAAGCGATTTACAAGAACGGTTCCAGTGATGAGGATACATTGAACAGCTTGGGACTGGACAGAGTAGAGAGGGAGAAGCTGTTTCTGTTTGTAGAAGGGATAAGAACGAGAGGGGAAATAGATTTTAAATGAAGCAAGTGTGACGTGAGAGAGAACTTTTTCGGCAAGCAAGTGGTTACAGTGTGGAATGCACTGCCTGGAAATGTGCTGGGAAGGGAGGGAAAGATCTATAGGGAGAGAATGGTGACTGACTGATTGACTGTGTGCAGTTTGCACGTTCTCCCCGTGTCTTTGCGGATTTTCTCCGGATGCTCCAGTTTCCTCCCACAATCCAAAGATGTGCAGGCTAGGTAGATTGTTCCAAAATGCCCATAGTGTCCAGGGATGTGTAAGGTGAGTGGATTAGCCATGGAAAGTGCACGGTTATGGGGGTAGGGTAGGGGTTAGGTGGGATGTTCTTCAGAGGGTAAATGCAGACCTGATGGGCCAAATAGCCTCTTTCCACATTCCATAGATTCCAAGAATGTGAAGGAAATGAAGTAGAATTCATTGAAGATCATAGACGAGGTGAGAGTTTGGTTGTTGAAATACACACAGGTATATTAGGGAGCACAGTGTACAACTTTTGTCTGCATTTATATAAATTATTTGAATGACCATATACAAAGCATGGTTAGTAAGTTTGCAGATGACCCCAAACTGGTGGGGCAGTGGATCAATTGACTCAATGGGCTCAGGAGTGGCAGATGGAGTTTAATTTAGATAAATGCGAGGTATTGTACTTTTGTAAAACAAACAAGGGCAGGACTTGTACAATTAAAAGTAGGGCCTTGGGTAGTGTTGTAGAACAGAGAGACCTACGGGTTCAGGTACATAATTCTTTGAAAGTTGTCTCACATATAGACAGGGTGGTTAAGAAGGTGGTTGACACTCTTGCCTTCATCGCTCAGACCTTTGAGTATAGGAGTTGGGACGTCATGTTGAGGTTGTACGGGACATTGGTGAGCCTTCTTCTGGAATACTGTGTCTGGTTCTGATCGCCGTTATAGGAAGGATATTATTAAACAAGTGAGGGTTCAAAAAAGATTTACCGGGATGTTTCCGGGAATGGAGGATTTGAGTTATAAGGAGAGGCTGGGACTTTTTTCACTGGAGCATAGGAGGTTTAGGGGTGACATTATAGAGGTTGATAAAATCATGAGGGGTATAGATAAGATGAATGGCAAAGGCCTTTCCCCTAGGGTAGGGGAATTCAAAGCTAGGGGGTGTATTTTTAAGGTGGGAGGGGAAAGATTTAAATAGGACGTGAGGGGACAACTTTTTTTTACCCAGAGTGGTTCGCATGTGGAATGAACTGCCAGAAAAAGTGGTGGATGTGGGCACAGTCACAACATTTAAAAGACATTTGGATAAGTACATGAATAAGAAATGTTTGAGGTGATATGGGCCAACCATGGGCATGTAGGACTAGTTTGGTTTTGGAACACAGTCAGCGTGGATTGGTTGGACTGAAGGATCTGTTTCCGTGCTGTATGCAGAGGTCAAGTTGATTTTGTGTTAAGAAACTGGTTTGACCTCAGCTGATGGGTGGTGACCATTGCTGAGTCCTGCACATTAGAGAGATTGTGAAGACCTCATACAGAATGGATTCAGGAATGCGAGATGTCACTGGGGAAGGTAGACTGGAGACACCCGGGATTGTAGTCCTTGGAGAAGAACAAGCTGAGCAAATGTGAGCCAAATCATAGAGCAAGTGGTGGTGGGGAGAGATGTGCTCCAGATGGAGAATGATAGAAGGAGGGAGATTGTGGGGGAACAGTTTAGAAAGGGTTGGAGAGGGGTACAGTTTGCAAGTCATTGGCGAAAGAAGCAATGGGAGACCCGAGAAGATGTTTTTTTTTCATGCAGTGAGTGGGTTAGAGCCTGGAATGTGCTGCCTCAGAGCGTGGACGAGGCAGGAACGATCCAGGCCTCTACAACATGGCCAAATGGCCTGCTGCTGCACTGTAACAATTTCTGCAGCTTCTGAATACTGTCCCTGACTACTTCCTCCCTTCTTTCTAGACACAAGGTGCAGAACGAGAGCGCTTACTGTGTTGCGTGCTCCCAGGCATGGCAAAACTGGCCCTAAGGTTACCAGAGCTTTGCTCCAAGGTTAGTAGAAGCCATCGGCAGGATTGAAAAAGAGGGAACTCAATGTTAAACTCCCTTGAGCCTTGCTCAGACCGCACACGGATACTGTCAACACTTCTAGTTGTCATACCATGAAAGGGGTAGACAGATTCTGGAAAGATTTAGAAGGATAATATCAGAAATGTGTAAGTATGGATATCAGGAAAGGATTGGCAGGCTGGGGCTCTGCCCTCTAGAAAACCAAAGGCCACCTAATAGAGGTGTTTAAAATCTGGGAAGGTTTTCGATGGAGTGGATACGGAGAGAATGACCCCTTTTGTTGGGGAAGAGCAGAACCAGAGGGTGTCAATATCAGGCACTCTCCACTCCCCAAGAAATCCCATTAGGAATTCAAGAAGGAACCCTGTTCCCCAGAGAGCGGAGGTAGAACGTGGGACTCGCTCCCACAGGGAGTGAATCGTATCAATGTGTATCAGGATAGGTGAAGGAATTGGCTGTTTTGGAGCAAGATGAGGTCTATCTTTGTGGCTCCGAGGCCATGTGAATCCTCATGGATGATGTAGGGATTGAATTAGGCCGTTCAGCCCATCTATTCGATGGAATCACTCTTGATGATAATCCTCAACTTCGCTCTCCTGCCCTTTCCCCGTGACCCTTGATCCCTTTCCTGATTGAAAACCTGTCTGTCTCAGCCTTGAACATATTTAATGACGCAGCCTCAACAGTACCCTGTGTAAAGAATTCTACAGATTCCCTAACCTGCTAAGAGAAGAAATTCCTCCTAATCTCTGAGACGATGCCCTCTGGTCCTAGACTCTCCCACGAGACGAAGTAGCCTGTAGTCCTGTCACGTATTCCAGCATTTGAAAACATGGAAGATTGATCTTTGGACATTGAGAGCTGGGTAGGTGGGAATTGAGGAGGGTGCGAGTGTGACAAGCACTGCCCTGAGTCGAGTGACCAGCTGTGATCAGACTGAATAGCCGTCCTTCCCATAGCAAGCCGCTTCTGGTAAGATAATGTTCCATTTGTTTATTTCTCTCTCTCTCCATTGCAGCCCATCCCGCTCCTGAGGCAAGGAAATCCCCAGGCCATCAGCATGTCCCAGGAGCAAATCTCCTGCCTCTTGGCAAATGCTTTCTTCTGCACCTTTCCCCATCGCAACAGCATGTACCCCAACTCGGAGTACAGCACATTCCCGGACATCAACTTCAGCAGGTCAGCGAGGCAGGGGCACGGACACATGGGTGCAGTGAGTACGTGGCCATCTCACTTCCTACCTACCACATCTGAGGGCTGTGCAGTTCAAGGATCTGAGACAGGATGGTGAAAAAAGTGTTTAGCACGCTTGTCTTCATTGCTGAAACCATTGAGTATAGGAGTTGGGACGTCATGTTGTGGCTGTAAGGCCACATTTCGAGTACTCTGCACAATCCTGGTCACCCTGCTATAGGATGTTGTTAAAATGGAATGGGCACAGGAAAGATTTACATGGATGTTACCGGGACTGGAGGGTTTGAGTTATAAGGAGAAGCTGGGACCCTTTTTTCCCTGGAGCATCAGAGTTTGAGAGGTGACCTTAGAGGTTTTTAAAATCATAAGTATCTTGGATAAGATAAATAATAAAGGTCTTTTCCCAGGGTAGGGGAGTCCAAAACTAGAGGACATAGATTTAAGGTGAGAGGGGAAAGATTTAAAAGGGGCCTGAGGGGCAACTTTTTCACGGAGGCTGGTACATGTATGGAATGAGCTACCAGAGGAAATGGAGGCTGGTACAACTACATCATTGAAAAGACATTTGGACAGGGTACATGAATACGAAGTTTAGAGGGATGTGGGCCAGAAGCAGGCAAGTGGGACTAATTTAGTTTGGGATTATGGACGAGTTGGACTGATGGGCCTGTTTCCGTGCCGTATGAGTCAATGACTGAGAGAGAGCCTCCAGCAGGGCAGCAATCGCCCTGCGCAAGACATGTTCTGCCCTGCAACACAGGTCCGAGAAGATCCCAAGGCTGCTGACTTGGAGACCGTTATCCCCATCTGCTTTTTTTTATTGCCCACTTCGCCAGCATGGCAAGGTGGTGGGAGCAGGGTACGCAGGTGGCCTATGGGAACCTGCTGTGCACAAACTGAGCCTCTGCTTGCTCTAAGATTACAACTGTTTTAGTTTTCTGGAAAGCAGGATTTACATGGCCACCTCTCACTATCAATTGATCCATTTTTTTTGGGGGAGGGTTGTGGGGCCATGATAGGCAAGGGGGTGACTGTTCCCAAGTAGGAATCTCTGCATCTGATCAGATACTTTCCTTCATTTTTCGTAGGCTGTTTGGAAACTCTTCGCCGAAGTTGTCTGAAAAGCTGAAGACTATTTTCTGCTACTTCAGTCAGGTCACAGAAAGCGGTACGTTCGATTTCTCTTCAGAGCCCATTTGGCGAGCAGCCAGTTGGACCTTTTGTTGTCCCTGCACCAAGAAAGAAATGATTACTTCCCTCTCGAGTGTTGACCGGATTTGTAGCCTTCACATTTACAGTGTAGCAAGAGTGACACACAGCCTTCTGGGGTTCTTTGATTCATTGAGTGGCTGAGTAAATGTAAAGGAGCCACACGAGTGAATGGAAGGTGGGCTGAGACTGAGAATTCCATAAACTCTATCCACGTGGAAGAAGTGCCTTTTCTGTTCGTCTACCAACAGATTCAGGAGTAAGAGTTATTAAGGAGTTGTTTTTAACCCTCTGAGGACAGCATTCAGTTGGGCAACGTGGGGCGAGGACTTTAGGAGAGGTGGATTGAGTTAGGCTCCAGCTGCTCTCCTTGTCCATGCTGCTTCCCTTGCCCCTTTGTTTTCCCTCTTCACCCACCTAAGGTTTGTCCTGCCCTTGTTCTGGATAAGATGTCTCTCCTATCTGCCCTCTCCCAGCTCACCTTGTTCGCCAAAGAGCCCCCCTCTGGTTTCTTCAACCACCCAACTTTCAATCCTGTTCTACCTGATAAATAGCTCCCTTGCCTTGGTGCAGTCTATCTCCCTTTGGAAACAGCATTAGTCAGAATAGGAGTAGGGCACTTGGCCCCTGCAACCTGCTCCACCATTCAACAGGAACATGGCTGATCTTATCCCACAATCCCCTGCCTTCTCACATGATCCCTGCATCCATCAACTCCACTGGTCCCTGAAAATCTCTTGATCTCTATCCTTAACGTGCTGAATCCGTGGTGGTTTTCCAGTCCTTGGCATCCTGGGGGAAGAGGATTTTCAGAAGTGGGGGAGGTGGCTGGCTGTTGGAAGGGGTAATATTCACCCTTCATTAGAATTAGGTTTTATTGTCACATGTCCGAGTACAGAGATACAAGAATGCGGTGAAAAGTGTACAATATCACCATTCATGGTGCCATCTTAAGTACAAAGTAGCTAGGTACAAAATCTTAGATGAAAAGTAGGAAATAAGTTAAAAGTTCAACATGACAGTTCTTCTCGGTTAAAAATTAGTCAATGAGAAATAAGTTCAAAATTAAAGTCCTTCTGCAGCCCCATGGCTAAAGTCGCTCGAGACTGAGCTTTCCCCACAAACCACCCCCAAATCCGATCTGACCAACCACCTTGCAACCGGAGTTCCACTCTTGAGCTGCCGGCTGCTTCTCCAATGCAGCTGACCTCCAGAGCTCTTCCTGGGTGTACTGTCTGCCCCGTGGCCAACCACCAATTCTT